ATTTAAAAAAACAAACAATTCAATTTTACTAAATTTTTGGTTTAGTGCAGCACTAATTGCCAAAACAAACAAAAACAATTACATATATTTGTCCATGGTAGCTTTTTCTCTTATTCTTTGAAACCTCATTGCAGGGAAAGTGATTTTCTTTTGCCCATTCTGTCACCAAATTAAAAGAATCCGACACTTTTTCATTTGCAAAATTACAATCATTAAATAAGACTTTTGTCAAAATGAGGTTATGTTGTTGTGATCAGCTAATTTTACCTCTGAATTGGCCTAAGCCTAACTCAAATATTTAGGTTTAAAAATGGAAGTTGCTTATATAGAAGAGTTGAACTAAAAAAAGTTACTTATAGAGAGGTTGCTGAGAAAAGATCCGGTGGAATGTTGATTTAGTTGTTCATAACATATATCGCAAATCAGAAAAGCCGCTAACTAGATATTATTCCGAGGTTATATCCTTGATTTAATTGATTGTTTAATACAGTTCACAAAAGTTGTGTTATTGCTGCATTTCTAGACCATTATTAATCATTATTTTCAGCTGTAAAAATTAGTGGTGGTAGCAGTATTCCATAGGCATAGTATTTATAGCTATGATGATTGTCACAAGTCCGAAGAGTGGCAGGTAGAGGGACTGATAGTTGACCTACCTGCGCATTAGTTGGTGGTAAAGTAAAGGGAAAAATTTGTCGCTAAGTAACACTGGTCTTCCTGAAAATGAGAAAATTATTATTCACAATGTGTTCAGAGCTCTTCGTAGTTTCAAAAATTGTTGAAATGTTATATATGACTGGAGTTGGACGGTCAACAATATATCGACTAAGGAAAAATTAAAAAAAAAACTGTTGCCATCAGAAGGATAATACACTTATTAACTTAACTTTGGACAAAATAATATGTGAAATGAAAAATAACGATTTCATTACACTTATGGCGAAGAAGAAATTGTACAAAACTTTGATTAGGACTTTGGTTAGGAAAAAATTAATAGGAATAGTATTGTCGTATTGTAAATAGTAGATTTTTTCTTTAAAATAATAATATTTATTCCGCTATAAGTTTTCAATTACTTGATCTTACAATAAATAATATCTCCAATTATAATCATCTATTATTGTTATATTTATTTTTTTAATAAATTACCTGTAGCACCGCCGCTATCAAATCTAATTTTCATTCACAATAGTCGTCATTATATCTTATGCAAATTACTCTGACCCTAATTTAGGAACCATTCGAGGTGTGTAGGGCTTAAAAACTGAAATACGGAATATATCGGAAACTTTGGGTTATAAATTTTTAAGTTGTCCACCCTGTTTAATAAACCATGTCATTGCAAATTTAAATTTTCTTACCCTCTCGCATTAAAATAAATACATCAATAGTTAATTTGCCGGTTTTTGAAATCTCAAACCTTTCAGAACTCTTCAAATAATGGAAAGGCAATTGTCCTGCTCAATCAAACAAGCAATAAATAAAATAAAGCACTTTTTTTTTAACAGAAAAGCTTCACAAAATTGTTTCTCCATAGAAAATGACGAGACCATCTAGTGGCAGTAGTTATAAGCCTAACTTTTTTTAACTTTTATTAATGAAATTAATATTGTTATATTTGTGTTAATAGATAAGACCAAATTAACTTTACTGGAAGGCGAGCTTGACTCTGCACTCAAATCTCGATAGTACAGTCGATGCTCAGGTCATGTGTTATTATGTACGATTTCAATTTTACCACCGAAAATGAAGTTATAGACCCATGCTAATTTATATCACCACTTTGTCATTTTCGGACAGGTGAAAATATTTCTTCAAAACTCAATAGTAAGTTTCCAAACTCGCGAGCTGCCATTTTTTAAATCACTTCGAAAGATGGCGTTTAATAAAAACAGTATGACCAATTAAGTGTTAATTTGTTTTTCACGAACCACTGCATTATCACTAAATCGAATGTCTTTTGAACTTTTTAAAAAAATATGATTAAATGGTTAGACATTCCAAAGTATAGCTAAAAACGATTGTGATCGTGGAAAAATTATTTGCAAATTTAGCTGCAATAATGTAAAAGCAGAACTATGATATTGTTAGGTGTAATATTCTTTCCAATAATTGAGAAGGTATTTTGACGTAACCTGTCTGGGCACTTGTGATTTGGCCTGCTATTCTCTAAATGGTAATTGATTAATATAATAATTGACAATGGAAAAATGATTGTTTTGCACAAATCATATTGTACCAGGAGTCCCAAATAAGATGTTCTATCGTGTCGCATAGTTGGATATATGATTGGCAGAGGAGTTCAGTATGACGTTAAATTTAAATTTTTGGTGGACCCTCCAAGTAAATTTATTACGTACGTAAAATTAGAAATAAGCCATATTGTTTTCATCCATGAGTAAATTTCTATATAAAGGCAATAAGAACAACAAAAAATAAATTCAAAAAAAGAAACAAGAAAATAGGAATGTCGAAAAAAATATTTTAGGCTCCTATTTTTCTTTATTTTTAATTTTTTCTCAAGAAATATAAAATATTTTCTATCTTTTGTACCCTACGAGATACAGGACTTTAACATCATATATATATGTGCGATATGTAGTATAAGAATCTTATTAAAATTTATAATGCATTAATGAATCATATCAAATTTACCATGAAATGAATTTTTGTCTACTCCTAACTTTGGTGATCAAAATCCTCTTTAAAGCAGACGAGCAAACTCTTAACCACTTGGTATACTCTAAGGACGACGAAATTAATTATCCGAAAATTTTTCTTATAAAAAATGTATCAAAGTAATTACGTTTAGACCGGTAGTGACAAAAACACGGCAACCCTCTTTAACCTTGGGGTGCAACGCTCAAACCCAACTTTTACCCTTAACTGTTTTTGCTGTAGTTACACTCTAGTTCGGAAAAATAACCATTTTTTGTGCGATGTTGAAAACATCGTCGTGTTGGCAAACTCATTAAGAAACTCGGGAAATTTAGCAGACAAAAACCAACAGAAAACCCAACTAGAATATCAATAGCTTCGGGATACACGAAGTGGCTTTTTTAACCTCGTCAAATAACAACATAGGAGTCATAGATCATATCAGAAATACTTGACCCTTTGTTAGTATCAAGCATTGTTTGTGTATAAATCAAAATAACACGCGTATCAGTGTCAGTGTGGAATGCAAAAAATGAATCAAACATTAAAACAGAAACTGATTCCTGGATATTAAGAATTGGGGAGGAATTATGAATTTGGAGAGCTAGTGCATATCTATATTATATATTTATCTAGTTCACGGTTCAACTTCGAGCTTTATCGAGGACGAGCTAATACGTATGTTTTATATATATCAGGATTTTTTCCATTTTTTTTTAACGATAATGAAAATTTCTGCTGCATAAAATATTGTTGTCACAGTACGTTACTTTCAACTAGTTTAATTTTTGGGAAGTCTTTTAAAATTATTTTCCGAAATGTACAAAAAATATCAATTTTTTTTAAGTGGGACGCCATTTATATTATGAGGATATAGGACATTCCGCTCTAAATAAGTGTCAGTTACAAAAAGGTCTACGACACCTAACTAGACCTTACGGTTTCTTAAATAATTTCAATTTTCTCAAAATATTATCTAATTTCAATATTTCAAAAACAAAGTGAAATTTCACAAATGGCCAGTATTCTACATTTATTCAGTTATATTAAACTATCTATAATCAAAATTTAATGAACACTTTACATGAGATTGGGCTGGACAAACGGGATACTATAATCATGCAGAATATTTACTGGAACCACCAAGGTTGTATTCGACTGGAAAAGGGTAACACCAACTACATCAATGTGGAGAGAGGAATTTGCCAAGAGTGTCTTTTATCTCCTTTGTTGTTTGACGTATACGCAAAATCCATTATTATATCGTCCCCGCAAGACCGACTACAAGGTTAACAGCATAATCATCCATAACATTACAACTACCAAAGATAGTATTAGATAGGGATTGGAGATAAACACCACAAAAACAAAAAACATTGGTTTTTGGTCACATCAAAGATAATGTCAATACGCAGATAACTGTCAATGGCGAAATTCTTTAAAATGTTAAGAGCTACATATATCTGGGCAGAGAAATGAATAGCCATCTAGACTACTCAAAAAAGATCAGAAGAAGAATTGAGATCGCAAGAGCGGGATTCCTGAACATGCGTAACTTGTTATGCCACCTCAAGCTGTTCGAAGAAGATTTGAAAAAAAATGGAACTTTGAATGTGCAGAAGAATGTTTCGAATCAGCTAGACCTCCAGGACAACCAATGAAGAAGTTCTCTGGTATCATTAAAAGTAGAAAAACTTCCTACCTTGGACACATAATGCGCTATGAACATAATCCTGGAAGGTAAAATTGAGGGTAGGAGAAGTACAGGCAGAAAGAAGAAATCGTGACTCAGAAACGTCAGAGACCGCACACACCAATGATAACACACTACCTCATCAGGCCCACACTAGGGATTTTGCCATATTGGTCGCCAACTTTGCGAGAGAAGGCACATAGTAGAAGGGAGGATAATATGAGCCCAAAGGTTTGATATAAATAGTCAAGACACATGGACAGAGAAACATACCCTCCTGTGAAGATTAACAATGGTCAACTCTCACAAGTCGTATATGCTACTAAGCGCAAGCAGCTGGGACTTAAACTAAGCCACATGTATTGCACTAGTGACTCGAATACTAAAATCTTGCACAGGTTCGGAAATAAGGCATTGCGTGCCATCGCCAACGCACCTTATTACGTACCCAACGAAGTGATTCAGACTTCCCTCTGGAATCCGTCAAGTGAAGCAGCACCTCCATTGAGTAAGGTAAGGTACAAACCTCTGCACGTTTGGGACAAACTGTATAGGATGAAAGTAATTTGAAAAAGTAACCACTAGAGACCTCTACATATCCCAAATATTAAACTGTTTAAAATTCGCGTGCAATTTGAATAAAAAAGATTTGTAGGCTGGGATAAAATTTATTCATTAAAAAGAAGACCATACGTCGCTAACGAAATAGCTATATCGGCCTGTTCAATCATTTGATGAAAATTAAATTGCGGTGCGGGCCCTCCCGCTAAGTAGTTTTCCACCTTATACCATTCCGGATCGTCTTTAAACCACGGGCGGATGCTTAGGAAGGTGGAATCGGCGTTTATGGGAACATTGTTTGGATACGTTCCGGTCCATCCGTTCAACGGTATATTCACTTTTGTATTAAAACCGGTATTGTAATTATCTGCAAAGAAGGAAATACAACTAAAATAAAATCTTGCCGGATTTTGATTGCAAAATTACATGTTCCCCTTATGTCTTCGAAATACTTACAATACAATTAATCTAATCATATATTAGCGATTTTATCTTTTGATTGGATGCGAATGAATTATTTTTGCAGTTTTGGTTGGAAATTTTAATATTACCCTCGCTGAAGGATTAAACAGAAGCATAAAAATTACGGGAAGCAGGTTGGAGTTTTAGGGATAAGGAATCTGAAGCTTAAAACTTAAAAAATCTGAACGAAACATATTAAATAAACAAATTAAAATGTGTTCCTACACTAAAAAAACCTTACAACTTAGCGAATGAAAAAATGGCACCGAGTGTAGAACCTATTCAATTTACTGATGCTCATGCGTTACTATTCGGAATACGTTCCGCAAAAATAGCTCATACCAAGAGGATTAAACATGTTTCGCACTTTTCATAAAATGAATTGTGTATTGAATTTATTTAACTAAATTAATTACTCTCGTTAATACTGTTAGCCTATATTGATTAATTTAACGACGGTTTGTGGTTACATTTCCGGTTTATCTCTATTACAATGTGATTTGTTCCATTTTGCAAAGAAACTTTCACAGGCTACTGTAATACTATTTACAAAGCTTCTGAATTCGTCCTGCGGTGGTTGTTGATGAATCTAACTTTTTGACTTTTCGCCAATGTTGGCTTCTTCAGAGCTTAACTCAAACTTTCAGTTTCAGGAACATGGCAGCTTCAGTTAGTTCAAAAGTTTTGTAAATAGTGATTTGTTCGTATAGCAATTAGATATATAGTCATCGAGAAGGCGGTAAATGGGACAGTTCACATACTAACCCGTGCAATTTTCTTTCTAAACAGCGATCTACACACACTTAACTCGCTTTTCCCTAAACATTTCATGAAATCTGAACATATTTTGAGATAATACGGCCTTAAAAATGCTACATTCAATTTAAAAATTAGAATTACAACGTCAAAACCAGATACATACATGGTGGCTTCAAGAGTTCTTGGAATATCTGCACAGAGCAGGCAGGACCTTTATATTAGGTGCGTGGAAAATATGCCTTTTTAAAAATGAATTCTGAAACGGTTTAAATTAATTAGAGGAAATTTAGACCAAAAATACCTTTGTTTGGTCTTCAAAATTCAATTCGTACTTGAAAATTTGAATATTAATTCAAATTGTTTTTTCATTTGATCAGCATTACTGGCTAAAACTTTAAATAACTCCAAAAGCAGTATTTTTTGGGCTAAAATTAAATTAGTAAAAATACCGCAAAAAAAAAGTTTGGTGGGGGGGGACACCGTCTTTAGCGATGCTCCTGTACAAAATAATTGCATTTCGATGCCAGTTTCTTTTATGAGGTACTTGTGGTTTAAATTTCATTTAGGTATCTTGAATCGTTTCAGAAATAATATAAAAAAATCAGTTGTTTGGAACCCCTTTTACAGAGCCTCGCCTTATCTTCTGAAATAGACATTTTCGGACACATGTTTGTTAACCACCCTATAAATTATATTTATATATAAGACTGGTACTGCATTGGAAATTTCGACGAGATGTGTGTGGATGTGTTCGTCGAATTATCAACAATACCGCAAGGTTTACCGCTCGACATTTATTTTTCCCATGTAAGCTTTTATCCGTAGGTATAGTGCGGGATATTAAAAATGGAGTAAAACTCTTGTTTACCTTTTGTTTCGGTGATCGAGACGCCTTTTTGAGTTTGATGCAGCGCCCACATCCTATCGAGCAACTCCTTGGCGACATTTTTTGCTTCGGCATTATTCGTTTTAGCCGCGTAGTAGGATAAAATCCTGGCAGTGGCGGACGCGGTGCCGATCGCGTTAAACGAAGACTGGATACTGACGCTGACGGATGGAGGCACGCCAGAAAGTGTCAAAAAGTTTGGAACGCTGTACGAGTTGCCGTCAAACTTAATGTTGGGTAAAAGCCACGCCACCCATTTATCCAAAATCGCTTTAGCCTTCTGGTCATCGCTTATGTAATAATATTGTACCAGTCGATCCACCGCCCATGCCTGCTGACCGTACCAAAATGTCGTACTCGATCCGTCTGCGGATGGCATGTAAAACATCCCGTAGAAGGTATTATCCAATAAATTAGACGGAGGAACTTCGTAATTGTCTTTCCAGCTGTTGGTAACTGCTCCGGCAAATGAACCTTCTACTGACTGCGTGTACTCGAAAAATTCCACTTGCCTTTCGACCGAGTTTTTCCAGTCATTGGCGGCAGTTGGACTCCGGGGAATCAAATTCGGGTCGCTAGACAGTGCGTACGCCGCTATAGGATTTTGGTAAGCGTAATAATTAGTGGAACTTCCAACCCGCCAAGCCCATCCGTTGGGGTCTACCGATCCTCCCCACGAAATCGTCCAAGACAACAAATAGTGGGCACTTTCCCTGTCAGTTCCGGGTGCGCATTCTAACGGATCGATACAATTTCCCACCGTTTTGAAACTTTTATCGAATAACACGTATCGCAGATAGTCCCCTAGCCTCGAGGCCTTTTGTAAACTTCCTGATATTTCATCTATTTTTCCGAGGGACTTTGCGTACTGTGATGCCCAAAATGATGCTTGAACTGCACGCGCATCTGCATCAGGACCGGCTCCATAGATCCATACCCTGTTTGCATCGGAGTCTTGATACTGGAAACCGTAATTTCCACCATATACCCAGTTATCGCACGTAGGCGAAGGAATTTGCTGGAAGATAGAGCCAGATCCCAATTGAATGAGCGAGGGACCCGTTTCACCCGGACCTGCTTCACATTTACCGTTCACATTTCCGAATCCGTATTTATTATCCACATCGGCCAGCCAGTGTAATATATACATATCCGACGTTCCATAAGTGTTGGCCAGTTCTTGGAATAACGGATCTACTCCTACCCATAGGCCGTTTGAAAGTATCGGAGCCGAATGGTTATATTTGGAAGTACTGGGTTGAAGTTTCGGAACTAGAGTGTCTTCCACCATTTGCCACGCGTTATTGAAGGGGCTAAAATCTCCCGTCACTCCGCCGTAAGTCGCTTGCAGCCAAATGAAGTAACTTAGCGCTTCTGAATCGGTGGTATGGCCGTAATCGGTAGAGACAATTGCTAAACCTTCCGGGCAACGGTACGGTACTCCATTAGATGAAAAATAACCATTTGCGAGATCGTGGATTTTCTCATATTGAGTTAAAAAACGGTCAGTGTAAACACCGCCCCTGGTACATTTTGCATACACCAGCAGTAAAATGGAAACCAGTATCTTCATCTTTGCCTAAAAAACATTTAGCTAGGTATTTCGAAACCTGGACAGAAATTTTTTACTTACACGAGTTTATTGAGATAGAAAAAGGAGCTCCTGTATGCCCGATAATACGACTGCGAGCTACGATAGGAAATTATTACAGAAATTTAGCAGGGACCTGACTTTATTAATAACTTATTCTATATAAACAAAACACTTATACGGAGAAGTTAGATACACATTTATTTTGTCGTTATCATAATGTAAACAACTTGAAAATATTTAATGGCAACGATATTGAAGAAAAGAAATTAATGAAAGGTAAATCAAGCTATTTTTTTTGACACATAAATAGTACCCTTTGATTTGATTGGTAAAGGTGACTAGAGTTGATCTGAACGATATTTTCTTGATTGCTTTTGCTTCTATACACATTAATTTTTAATCTTTGACTATCATTATTTTAGTCAAAAACTCTGCAAAACCTTACAACTCAGCCAGTAAAAGAAAAATGACACCGCCACTATTGAATATTTTCCAAAATTTCACGAACATAGAATTCTTAATTGTAACAGGTGATTTACTGATGCGCATGCGTTTGTATTCCGAATTCGTTCGGAATATGTTCGTTAATGCTGTTAGCCTGTACTGATCGAGAATTTAACTGAAACTATCAGTTTCAGAAACTTTTCAGAAATAACTAAAAAAAAATTAGACCACAAATACATTTGTTTTGGTCATAAAAATTATCTATTGACAAAATGTAACTTCAAAATTGTTTAAAATATTCATTCTTGATAGTTGTATCTGAAGCAGTCGTTATTTTTTGTGATAGGTCGTTCCCATTATGAAAATTAATTTATAGTAAAGTATGCAACAAGTGCGGTAAACGACATTTGAGTCGCGAGTTCATTTGCCATGAGCGGATCGAGTGTCTAATAAACGAGTGACTTAAAAAGTTTATAAACGTGTTGCATACTATTCTTTTTCTACAACCATTACAAAACAACATGAATACATTCACAGAAATGAACGTCAGAATTAACGAACGTAAAAATTCAAGCAGTGCGGTGGGGAAATATCTCCAAAAACATCCGATTGCTCCCAAATCCATGCGATAATATCCCGGAAATGTCCAAAGGAGCTCCGATCCGTGGGACAATAAACTCACTTGGTAAAGTGACGTTTTCCTCACGCTAGATCGATGTGTAATTAAGTATTTTACAGAATGGACTAGAAAAAATTCTACATTCATTTGGTCAGCATTACTTGCTAAAGTCTGAAATAACTCCAAAACCAGTATATATTTTTTAACATTAGCTATTTTTTTGACTTACAAACAGTCAATTAAGCAATTAAGTTTGCAACAAAAACGCATAATTTTCGAAAAGGTATATTTTTTAAGAGGTGGTATAACTTTTTTAAAGTGAAAAAATTGGTGCTTCTATAAAAATGTGTCCAAAGCAACTTTTTAAGCAGAATTTTGTGACTTAAATATAACATTTTCAAAACTAGTCTAGTTTATTAGTGACCAAACCTCTATCTGACACCCTCTATATATTCCAATTATTTCATATTTTCTGCTGTTTTTTTTTTTCAAAATACAGAGTTTTTACCACTTTGAATCAGTAGGCAATCTAATTATTATTAATAGTCAATTTTAGAACAAACGGCAAAATAACTATACATGAAAGCTCTGCAATTTACAAGAAATAGTGATTTTCGCCAACACGAAAGCTGAAGACACCATCAGGCTAGAAAGAACTAACGTTGTATGAACTCAATTATACACAGTATCAGAAAAGTGCATGGTGGAATTGATTTGTAGAAGAATGCACCGACTACGCGGTTTCCGTTGATTCTTTGATTTCTTTTTTTTTGAAAAATAATAATAATGATAATAATTTTTAGGGTCAATACCTATATAACCATAAATGGTTTTACAATATGAAAATGCTATTATTAGCTTAAACCGAATTTAACAAAAAAAAAATTATATGTGTTTTTGAAAGATTTAACATTGAGACTTAAACAGTGTTTGGATATTGAATCGTAACAACGCACTGCGTGATACGAAAAAGAACCACGAATATAGTACTTCTAATATTTAAATTATGTGCGTTATAACCAAATATTAATCGTTCACGAATAGAGGTGGGAGAGTTAATAATTTTAATTAAAAAACAAACAAAAAAACGAGCATCCATTCTCAGCCAATTTATATCGCTATAAAGATGAGAAGTTTGATCAAATTTTCGAATCCCATAAGCGAGACATTAGTTTTGAACTCTTTGTATTCGTGTTCGACCCTCATGATCAAAGGAAAAACAACGATTCAAGTTAGACAAGTGACTCACATAAGTCTCTTCTCAAACTTTTGCCTAATATATGCCTGCATCTTTATGCATCTTTAGCGAGAAGAAGGTTTTTTTGAAAATAGATTTTAGATGTGCCTTAAACCGAAGCTGAGTATTCAATACAATCTCTAGATTCTTTGCAGCGGCTAGAAATTTAAATTTAGTGTCAATAACTTTAATGTTAAGTCTACCGACTAAAGGCATAGTTTTGTTTTTACTTCCGAAAATCATGGCGCATAATTTCGTAGGGTTTAATTTGAGTTTGTGACCACTAGAAAGGTCACGCGATTTATATTAGACGCCGCCTCAACATAGTCGTCGGCATCAAAACAACAATAGAGCTGCGTGTCATCATCAAATGCCTGTACCCTACTGCACATAACGGAGCAATTGCAAGAGCAATGACCCTAAAATAGAGGCTTGTGAGACTCCAGAGTGCCAAGCAATCTCATCGGAATATGTAGTATTAGAGAATATATTTTTTGACCTGTTTGGTAGATACGATCTAATCAAGCTAGACGATTCTGATGAGAAATTATAAAACTTTAACTTACCTATAAGTAAACTATGATTAATGGTGGCAAATGCCTTTCAAAAATCAAAAAGTACCAATATGGTAACCATATTTTTCTCATATGAATTGATTATATCGTCAACAACTTTAGCTAAAGCAACCGAAGTACAAAAATGTTTCCTGAAGCCGCACTGCCGTGGAAAATGATATTATTGTTTATAAAATAATCATACATTTGAGCATACAAAAGTTTCTCAAATATTTATGAAACTGCTGATAGAATGCTGGTTATTTGTAAATCATTGAGATGGTAAGGATTACTTATTTTTGCTGGTGGTTTTCCTATTGATATTTTCCACAGAGCAGGAAAGTAACTCTTTTCCAAACAGGAGTTTATAATATGTGTTAAATATTTATCTATGTAAGGACTACAATATTTTAACATTAATGGTGAAACTTTGTCGATCTTTGTTGCATTGGATTCCATTGAATTTTGAATTTGATTTATCTCAGACATTTCTGTCATCTGGTCACAGTTCGAAATATTCTGAAAAAATGTGATTGAAATTGTGATATTTCTTTGGGAACAAATATTAAAATTTCTGATAGCTGACTATAGTTTGCAAGGTTAATTTTGTGCACATAAGCTATTAAAATACTTTTTCTTTTCTCTGCTAACTTCATTCAAAGTAAAATTCCTAAGAAATTTATAGTTATCTCAGTCCGTCCGTAGGCTACTTGTTTTGAACTTTTTTGTTTCATAAATATACTTAAAATTTGGACTTTACTATCGAAGTCGTTTTCATATATTATTTCATTCCAGGGCGTTTTCCACATCGATACCAAAAAACCACCCTACATCAAAATTTTTTAAACTGTGACATCGAACAGTCCCGGGCGAAACTGGTATTGTAGCCACACTTAATTGATAGTATGTTAATTTATGATCACTAATGTTATCGACGTCAATGATGTCCGAATGATAAACCAATTCCGGATCGCCTACAAATATTGCATCCAATAAAGTTCTTGTACTCCGTGTAACCCTGGTAGCTTCATTTATTATCTGTACAAGGTTATAATTTTCAAGAATTGAAGTTGAAGGATTATTCAAATGAAATAAATTTCAATAAATAAAGTCAACTGGATACAAACTGGATACAACTGGATACAAACTAGAGAATAGGTTATCAAAATCTGGAATTAGGCAACTAAAATTTGCCAAAGGTAGTCTGTAGAAAACCATAAAGTCAAAAGTTTTATTGTTTATTTTAGTTTTGAAGATAGATAAGTTGCACACAAGTGAGAAAATCCAAGTGAATTATTTCAACATTGAATACTCTTTATATATAAGCCGCCACATCACCGCCCCTTTCTATAGAAATTGTAATTCGGTGCTGTCACCATCAGAAAGCCACGTCTCGGAGAGTAAAATAATATCAAAATCACTTTCTGTGACTATCTTACAAAAATCATTAAAACCCGCGAACTTACATTCAAATTACGAACCTTCACATAACACCTCGTTTAAGACTAAAGGGAGAAAAAAAGAAAAAACAGCAGTAGGTAATAGTACGGGACTGACCTATATAATAGAAAAAGAAAGAAACAAAACAAAACTACAATAAAGATTAACTTATCGAATCAGCAAGAACAATTAGCCTATGAGTCGCATATAAGTGTATATAGATTATATTATTATACCTAAAATAACACCCAAAAAATTGTAAACATCGATTAATACATTAGAGTTATCTATATATTTTCAACAAATTAAACATATTAGTAAATAATGTAGGAAAGATAATAAAAAACAAATAGAAAACAGAATAATTGAACATTCCATTGTGACATAAACAAAGCCACTTAAGTATACAGCAAAACGAATTATTATGATTAAACGAATTATATACACGCAATTATATTCTGCTTAAAAAAAGCTTTGGAAATGTTTAAATAAAAACACAACAAAGTTACATCGATTTTTTTTTAAATGCATGTTTTCGAAAAACACCGGTTTTCACTAATAAGTTTTTTTATGAAAATTGAGCTAAGTTTCTTTTTAAAAGCGTCCAATTTGGCCCAAGGTTAATAGCCTATCGGTTTTAGTTTCTGATGATGCTAGGATCTTATTTCTACACCGTTACATTGCGAAATTACAGCCAGCACAAAATTCTAGTGTTGGGGCACTTTTCAATTTAAATTCCCCTTTAGGAAAATGAATGAACAGGCGGGAGCTTTGCCAACAGCAATTCTACCTGCTATTAACTACATCTAAATATAGCTCTTCCAAAGTTATTATGCGTAAAGGACCGTCAGTCGGGAGAAACTAATTTGAGGCGGTAAAAATTTTGTTAAACCAAGCAAAACACACGCGTTTAGCAATCACAGCGTGAGATACTTTTCCACTAGTAATGGGAACCACAACTAGACAAATTATAAATATTATAGGGAGTGTATAGGATTATTCACGTTGGGTAAACCTACTAAAATGCTATTTTTGGCCTATCCGGAATACGCATATAAAAATTGCAGCCGTAGCACTGTGGTCCCGCCTGCGGACATGTACCGAAAAAGGTCATAATTTTATTTTGCCCTAAAAACTCGTCAAGTTTCTCAGAAATGTCTAATTATGATAATTATAAGAGAAAATCCGGTATTAACTAGTTCATCCCTAAGATTTCGTTCGTCAAACGTAATTGTGCCCCTTTTTTATTACGGAGGTCAGTGAACTTTTCGTATGTGTTGCTACCTGGGTTTATATAGTTTCGCACTAGAAACTGTGAAAACAAGTGGTGCCATAATGGATATTGCTGTTTCTTTTTTTTTTTTAATGGCCCACCATTGCCCCTTTTTTAGTTTTTTTTAAACGTTAATACATGAAATGTAATGCTTTACCTCCCGATAACTCGCAAGTTATATACCTTGATGAAATGCTTGGAACCTCTACTTAAAAACGGTTATATTCTTATCCCTTCATGGTTAGCTTTAAATGCATGTATTTTCCAATAGCAATAGCAACGTGACGTTTTGTTAAAAAAAATATTTATATCATTGTTTTTGTTATAGTGCATTATATATCTAGGGACTACAATGTCACTGTGTATCCCGAGGCTAAAAATTTATAGCCCGAGCCTATCGAGGGCTACAATTCGCCCAGAGATAAAACAAACTTTAGTTTGTTTACCAATCTTTTCTTTTTATCAATTTTACAATTAACAAATACATAAAAGAAGATGTACACACAAAAAAAAAACGTGGGGTCATTTTTTTTCCTTTTGTTGCAGATCAGATAGTCTGCACCTTCACGAGGATGTACCTTTTTAATACTTGGTTAGCCAAGAAAGCAGACAGAAATTCAGAAGAAATCCGTGAAATCTTAGCCGAGTTGACAGCTACTTTGCCCAACTTGGAAAACCGTGTCTCCTATTTTTGTAGGAAATTCAGTAAGTATTGGAGGCAAACTTCTAGTTCTTCTATTTCTAGATCAAAACTAGTAGCTAAGCACCAGGAATGGCTTAACATGACAGAAACTTGTGAACTTTCGCTTGCCCAACCTATTCTGCTGCATGAAGTGGTAGAAATCCAGCAGGTCCTTGACGATCAAGAGCCGTCAACAAGCAACCCAAAAAGATTTTTGAAAGAGTTTGAAGAGTATAGTGAACGATCTAAACGCCAAAGATTGTCGGAGTTATCTAAAGTAGATAATTCTGCAATTAAATATTTAAAAGAAGATCAGTCCAAAACCACCAGTTCGCAGATCAATGTAGATGAAATACTTTCTCTTTTTGTTGAAGCTAAGTTGACCAGGCATCAACATACATTAAATTAAGATTTTGTTAATTCAAAAATGGCCTCAAATGTCTTTCCTTCATATCACAAAGTTCTGAAGGCAAAGAAAAAGTGCTAACCTGTTTGTGACATCCCATGTTTCTCTCCAACTAGTTTTCCAATTAGCAACTTCAGAAAATGTTATTCTGTGGAAGGAAGCTAAAGAACTCTCTTTGCAAGAAGAAGCGTATTTTGAAGACAAAATTAAAAATTTGAGGCCAACAATCTTTAAATATGGTGATCGTGAAGAAAAGGTTCAACAAAGTATGTTGCTCCTTAGCGGAAATATCGTCAAGTAAGTGTTACATTTGCAAGGCTACACCTAAAGAAATAAACGATATTGAAGTATGTTCAAGCAAAACTGTCGATACCAACAATTTTCGTTTTGGTTTATTTCCCCTTCACTCATGGATTAGGTTTATTGAATATTTTAACACCTTTTATGCAAGCTAGATTTTAAAAAGTGGCAAGCTAGATTGCAAAATGAAAGGGTACTTCTTGCAGAGAAAAAATCGCGGATGCAAAAAGATTTTAGGGAAAAGTTGAGCTTAAGTGGAGGAAATGGGACAACAAACGATGGTAATACTGCGAGATTTTTTACAAGTTATGAAGTTTCAGTTGAAATAACTGGTTTGGATAAAAACCTTACCAAGCGATGTTGTTTTCTTTTGGAGGTTTCTTGGGCTCTGGCTATAAAATTAATTCTATAAAATATCAGAATTACGCTTAGGATCAGCAAAAGACCTTGTAAAAAATTATCCGTGGTATTACCTACCTGCCTCCGGAATTCTCGTGCACGGATCTAAAGTTATTGAAAATGCACTTCTATCGACAGGGGAACTTTCGGAGGAAGCTGCAGAATCTTCAAATAAAAATCTTAAGTTATGTAGGCGTGAAAATAAAAGAAAAATGTCTCGTGTTCTTACTAACACACGAATGCTTTTAAATTCGACCCTTCTATTTCTAGTTTAACCTAAAAGCAGTAAGTCCATTTTATTACCTGAAGTTTTTGATTTATTAGAATTAGAATAACAGCTAAATCAAGCAACACGACAACTCATTATAAAATGGTAATCCCGTACCCCTTTTTTTAATGATATAAAAGATCTTTTTATAGTGAATTTTACTTCTGAAATTAGCAGCCATAAATGATTATCTGTCATGAGTCTTTCAGTTTTATTAGAAGACTCAAGACTTATAAAATTATAAATTCTAGTTAATTTCAATTCGGGAGTAATTTATAATGATTCTTTAGAGTTGTACCATATTAGTTTAGTTTTCACTTTTATGTGTTTTATTAAAATAACGTGATTTTTTTTTGAAGGTATATTTCCTCCTGTTAATAAAATTTTACTTTTTAAAAATAAATAGTTTTTTTATTTATATTAAAGTTTAAAAAAATGTATTTGTTTTGGAAAAGAAATATGCACAAAAATGCCATATTTAAAATATCCCATTAGCGCGAAAATTTCATGACCGCATGTGCCTTAAGACGGGACCACCGTGCGTAGTTATTAATTGAACATCAGCAACTCTTGTCTGTAAACAAAAAAATTACAACCGTGCACTAGATAAAATCTTACCAAGATTTTAAATTAGTACCAGTTACGAGAGAAATAAAAAATAATAGACAATCACAACAAACAACAGTAACATGATTGTATTCAATAACTTTCATATTTCAACATTTGTTGCTTCCTGCATCATTGCGTAGTTATAGTTAATTGAATAGAAATTGATTTGCAGTCTACAGCGAGACATTCTGTAGGCAGAACCATTAATTTGCTTTTGTTTTGCCAAATTATAAATTACACAGGTCTACAAAATTAAACTTTTTCCCAGATGTTTTTATTTTAAAGAAAACCGATTTTATTAATTTTGGTAGGCTGATTTGAAAAATTCTTTGCATTTATTTGCATCAGGTAAGGTTTTTTTGCAAATATTAAAGAAAAATAATACGATGTTTCTAAACCAATTTATTTTTTTTATTCAGTAAAAAAGTGGAATCCTAGCGGTAGTCCGCGATCATCGTTATACTCCATCTGCCCTGGTATCGCCATTCCATTTCCTTAATATCCTTGTAAAACTTATCTCATTGTTCTTCGCTAGCTGCTCCAAGATTTTCAGGGGAATAGTTCAAGTGTAAAAACAGGAAATGCACTTTCCTAGACGATGAAAGTGTTGTAATATATTTTTAACAATACTTTCGTAGTTTTCTTACTACTTTAAATGAAACCCTGCCATTTTTCTCGACATTGGTCATTATGTTTTTAAAATCCTTTCTTTTATCTTGGCATCAGTTATGGCTGGAAATTCCTCGCGCAAATATTTGAGACACTGTCCATTTTTGTCTAGGACTTTAACAAACTACTTCATCAAGCGAAGTTTGATATGAAGAGGAGGCAATAAAACTTTTTTGGGGTCAACTAAGCTATCTCTTAATACAGTAGCACCAAAAACCAATACAACCATGTATTGATGCTTCTGCGCCAACTCTGTTGCTTTGCAGAGAAATCTAATATTATCTATTTGATATAAATATCATAAAAATCAGTTCATTTGAAAATCATGTCTAACATGGAACAAACACATTCATGCATAGTTATGTATATTAATAAAATAACATTTTTAAGATATAGAGAGCCATAAAAAAAATGATATGAAAGAGTATTAATACGCGTTTCTTAGAACAATATTCAATTAAGCAAACCTTCATTTCGTTGGCTTACTAATTCGCTTGCATTGATGGGATAACATGATAATACATTTAATTATTTTCTTAATTAATTCTATTCTTGATCTATATAAACGACCTCCCTGAGCATGTTGCTGACATAGTTTGTACATTGTTCGCTGATGATACTACCTTTTCTTGTCGAAGTCATTCTGAGAACGACTTTTTGCACATGATGGAGGGAGTACAGTCCGGGGCTAGTGAGTGGTTTCGTGCTAACAAACTTAACCTCAATGAATCAAAAACACAACAAATTATATTTTCTTTACGCGAGTCAACTTTCAACAACGCATTACATGTGAACTGTCTTTGGGTTCTGCTTGATCCGAAATTGACGTTCGAGCAGCATATTAATGGTCTTTGTGAGAAGCTCTCCAGGGTGGTGTACTTGTTGCGCGGTTTGGTCGGCGAGGTCTCTCAAAGTATGGTCAGAATGGTATATTTTTCACTCTTTCAGGGATTATTTAGTTACGCAATTTTAGTTTGGGGTCATTCCTCATATACCGACAGAGTTTTTTCGATACAGAGACGAGCCATCAGGGCGATGACGCAGTTAAATTATATATATATCATCCGTTCGCTTGTTGAATTCCGACTGGAATCCTGCAGACGTTTCTCCAAAATCTCACTTGGTATCTTCAATGCTCGCGAGCGTTCGAAGTGTTTTCGGAGCGCGAGCATTGAAGGATCAATATCCCCTTCATATTAATGTTTGCCACCATCTCACCAGAAACAGAAATGATATGTTGATTAACTACTCGAGAATTGCAAAGACTAGAAATTATAAGAACTATTACGGACCTAAATTCTTCAAGCTATGGCCTCTAAGCGTTAGATGGCTGCCGGAGAGACAATTCTCTATTAAGGTCAAATCACTTTTGCTGGATGGAGCCTATTACTCATTGATGACTTTTTTACCAATTTTAATAATGTTTAGCGTTTTCTGTGTTATGTCGCGGTGCCTTTGTAATTATACATATATGTAGATTTTTCTCAATGTTTTTGCTGACTTGTGTAAAACCGCGGGGTTGTTAACATCAATAAATCATTATTATTATTATCATTATTAATTAAAACAGTTATGTTCAGTTTTGGTTAGGTTTGGTTGGACCTCGATTACTTTAGCTTTCGATAGTAACAAAAATACCCGCAGGTTCGACAAACATAGATCATACGTACTGAAAATAATTGGATGCGCAATTAACCTAATTGACATGGTTGCGCGTCTTACAAATTGTGTTGAGTTACGTTTAAACCTCGAGGGATATTATGCGCTTACTTCGGTGGTAAAAACGGTAACTGGGTTATTGTTGTTGCAACCGGGTTTTGCCGTATAGTGACTTGTTGTCTAAAAATAGTTTGATACTCCAGAATAACTTTTCTAGAACAAATAGAGGGTGTCAGCGTTTTTGATGAGATCGATGTCACAAGGTCTTCTTAAGAATTTATTGTGTTTCTCCCAGAAACAGATATAGAAACGTGGGTTTGGTTCCTTCTATAGGCTATTTGGGCTCCGTATTGGAAATTCTACCGCAGCGCAAACAAAAGGATTTTGGTATATATTATATATTTATTTATATACTTTTGAGTTAGGACAAGGAACTATATGAATATTTTAAATCTTCCTTCTCAAGAGTGTAACGGACTTTTATACGTACATGGTAATATCTCGCTTAATTTAAATGTCATGTCATTTAATTTTTTGGTTTTATGTTAAATAGTAAGGTTGCTGATTTTGGTCGCATTTCGTTTAACTTTACTATTTTCTAACCTATCTAAAATTAAATTTGGGTCATCTTTCAACAAAATTTAAAAAAATCTAACAGCTTCTTTTTTTCACTTAACAGAATACCACTGAGAGATATTTTTGGTAAAATTAGTATAATTCTATATTCTCCCATTCTAAACAAACATGTGATAAAGCTTTTCAATATCTCACTCTTTTTTAAAAATTAAAATTTTTTGATCATTTCACCAAGCAGTGTTTATATGACCGAGAAGACGCCAATGACAAATCTCACTCTGGACATCATAACGTCAACTGATTAAGCGTTGAAAAAGTGAAAGAAATGGTGTTGAAAAATCGTGGAAGTTATGGGCATGAAATGCATTCAAGAGATGTTAAAGGACGTCAACGATGACCCTGATATGTTCAAAAAGGTCATAACATATGGTTATGACGTCGAAACCAAACCCCAGTTGTCCCAGTGAAAGAACCCAGAATCGCCAAGACGTCAAGTTCGATCAAATGTTAAGTTCTTACCACAAGATCGTATGGTCAAAACTAACAACAAGTTATGCACAGTTTGCGAGAAGCAATACGAAGAAAACGTCCCGAATTGCGGGAAAACAATTCATGAATTTTGCATCACGACAATGCCCCTGCTCACTCATCGTTGCTTGTGTCTAACTTTTTGGAAAAAAACAAAACCACAATTATGCCTTAGCCACCATATTAATTTTAATAAATAAATACTTTTTGATAAAACTTAAAAGTAACCCTATTTTGTGAACACACCTCGTATATTAAAACACGAAAAATAAAGTCAGGATTGAAAGGATACTGAAGAAGCAAATTATCGGGTTTAATTTAGACACAGAATATTTCCGCAGCTTCAACTACAATTTCATTCTGCCATATTTTTCATTATCTCATTATATAATCCGAAAACTTACAGATGAAATACCCTTGGTTTTAAAAAAATCTTATATGCGCGCAATTAATTATCGTCGTTGTCGCTGTTGACTGACATTACGTTAATGAATTCCACATCATATTGACTCGTGCCTGGGGATTCCACTAACTATTCCTCGTGATTGCTTCCAGTTCCCAAACAATTTATCGGATTTACGTGTTCGATTTTTTGGTAAATTTTCTTAAGTGGTTTTAAAACGTTAACCCAATTATCGCATTTATATTTCCAATATGTGGTTTTCCGTTCCAAAAATAGTATATTATGCAACAACGAGTTTGTTTGTGCAAGGGTGAAGCGAATGTTTAATAAATGAGAGAGAGAGGGGATAGAGGTGGGGGAGAGGAGAGAGAGATAAAGAGCGGTGGCGAGAGAAGGGCCTGGTGTGGGGACAGGAGAGAAGGGAAAGAGAGAGGAGAAAGAGAGAGGTGAGAGAGGAGGGAGAAGGGACAGAGGGAAAAGAGATGTGGAGAGGGGAGGGAGGAGAGAGCAGGGGCAGAGGGGTAAGAAGAGACAACGGGGGGTGCGAGAGAGGGGGGAGAGGGGAGAGAGGAGAGAGATAGAGAGAGAGAGAGTAATGGTAACGACATTGGTCATTACTTTTCTTCCTGAAACATGTTCTGCAATTGACCAGTTTAACTAAAACTAGAGAAAAAACGAAATTCGTGGTTTTACTTAATTTAATAAAAAAAAGGTATGTGAAGCCTATTTAGATCCAAAAATAGAAACAATTTTATTGTTGACGACTCAAACAACCTTTTCTGTGTAAGGGATGTATAAAAACGGCTCCGAATATTCACGCCAATTTGACCCAAATTTTTTTGTCGGGATGTAGCAATACGAGATCCTTTTGCGTCTTATGAAAAACGTAAACTATAACAGTCTCTCGACCCACATCAGG